TCTTATTTTACTTTTAATAATTCCTTCTCTCCTGTTCTTCCTTTCTCTTTGTAGAGCCAGGTTTCTGATCTATCATTTTTCTTCTTTCTGAAGAACTTTTTATTATTTCATGCAAGGGAGGCCTATTGGCAGATTTCCTCAATTTTATCTGAGAAAGTCTTTATTTTTCCTTCACTTTTGAGGTATAAATTTATGGGATACATAATGCTAGATTGGCAGCTTTTTCCTTCAACATACTGAATATTTCACTTTACTTTGTTCTTGCTTGAATGGTTTCTGAGGAGAAGTCCAATGTAATTCTCATCCTTGCTCCTCTGTAAGTGGTTTTCCCCCCTTGGATTTTTTTTCAAGACTTTATCTTTGATTGTCTGCAATTTGAATATGATATTACTAGGTGTAGATTTTGGGGCATTTATCCTGCTTGGTGGTCTCTGAGCTTCCTGGATCTGTGGTTTGGTAAAATTAGAAATCAGTAACAGAAAGATAGCTGGAAAAAATCTAAAATACTTGGAAGATAAGTGACATGCTTCAAACATTAGTTTTAGGAAATCGTTATTATTGCTTCAAACATTTCTTCTCTTCCCTTCTCTCTTCTCCTTCTTGTATTCCTATTACATGTAAGTTACACCTTTTGTAGTTACCCATGGTTTTGGATATTCTGACATTTTGTGTGGTTTTGTTTTATTTGTTTTCTCTTGCTTTTCAGTTTTGGAGCTTTTTACAGAGATAATCTTCAAGCTCAGAGATTCTTTTCTCAACCATTTCCAGTCTGCTAATGAACTGTCACAGGATTTTCGCATTTTCTTTTCTGTTACAGTGTTTTTTGTCTGTAGCATTTCTTTTTTGGTTTTCTTAGAATTTCCATCTCTCTGCTTATATCACCTATCTGTCCTTGCATGCTGTCTACTTTATCTGTTAGACATTAGAGCTCTTAGCATACTAATCGTGGTTGTTCTAAATTCCCACTCTGTTAATTCCAGCACCTCTGCCATATCAAGAGTCCAGTTTTGTTGTTTGCTGTGTGTGTGTGTGTGTGTGTGTGTGTGTGTGTGCGCGCGTGTGTGTGTGTTTCGTGAAGCTATACATGATGTATTCAATAACAGGAACTGTGGTAAATAGGCCTTTATTAACATAGTGTAAGGTGGTGGGGGGAAAGGAGGCACTCTATAGTCGTATGATTAGGTCTTAGTCGATAGTGAACCTGTGCCTCTGGACTGTGGACTTCGCAAATACTTCTCAGTATCCCTCTCCCCCACTGTTGGGATAGGATGGCTAACGTGGGCTGGAGTTGTATTTCTCTTGCCCCAGGTCAGTTAGGCTCTGAGAAAACTGGCAGGTTAGGCGCTGGTAAACATAGCTTCTCTTTCAAGCAGGCTTTGTTAAGAATAGAATAAACATGCTGACGTATTTCAAAGTGGCTACTTTCCACTGCTTCTTCCTGGACACCTGAGGGGATTTGTCTAAATCTTCACTGTGAAAACCTGGTAGGGTTCCTGGAAGTAAAACTCACATAAATGTGCAGGCCCCCTTAAGACTAATTCCCCCCAGAGTTATTACCTCTGAGACGGGTCCACGCTGAGCCTCCAGCAGTTTGTCAGCTACAGTTTAGGTTTTCCTGGCCAGGTCTGGTTCTCTCAGAGGTCTTTGCTCCTGAAGTTTAGCTCCGGTAAGTTGTGATTCTCTGTATTTAGCTTTTGGTCCCTCCAATTTGAGAGGCAGTGGTTTGCCCTGTGACCTCAGTTCTCCGACACACCTAAGAAAAATTGCCGATTTTCAGTTTTTTCAACTTTGACTTGTTAGGAAGCAGCGATGACTTCCCAGCTCCTCTCATGCCAAACTAGAAACCACCAAGTCATTTCTTTAATTTTTTATGATCTATTTATAGATGTTGGTAAGAACCTTTATTTTTTTTAATTACTAAGGGCCTTTAAGATTCATGCAGTGCAAGTTTGGAGATTGGAGATCAAAATATTTTAGGCAAGCCATTTGTTGTAAGTCAAAATGGAAAATAAATTTACTGTGTCTTTATATAAGATTGCAAAGAAAATTGTTTCAACTTCAGTTTTCCTACACAAAAGACTTTGATCATTAAGTTCATAAAGCTTTTCTGATAGTGTTCCAAGTTTTCACTTGAAAAAAGTAAGATCTGAAACACAAGGCTCAAAAGAAGGAGAAAGAAAAAGGGAGAAACTGCTATTTATCCACAGTGATGAGCCTCTTTCTCGATGTAACTCTTTTCAGCCATCTATGATTATGGACAAGAGCATTTGACCTGTACAGGGTACCTTGATTTATTGTTCTTCACTTTATTGCTCTTTTGTGTATATTGTATTTTTTGTAAAGTCAAAGTTTGTGGCAACGCTGCATGGAGCAGGTCTGTCAGCATCATTTTCCCTATAGCACTTGCTCACTTTCTGTCCCTGTGTCATCAGCCTTGTGTAAAGCATTGGCTAGGCACTAGTAAACTTTTTCAAAGAAGCATATTGAATTCGGGGGTGATAGATGATGTGTATTTGAAAGCAATTTGGTGGCCAGGCACAGTGGCTCATGCCTGTAATCCCAGCACTTTGTGAGGTGGGCAGATCACCTGAGGTCAGGAGTTTGAGACCAGCCTGGCCAACATAGCGAAACCCCGCCTCTACTAAAAATACAATAAAAACAGCTGGGCGTGGTGGTGCACACCTATAGTTTCAACTACTTGGGAGACTGAGGCAGGCGAATCACTTGAACCTGGGAGGTTACATGACTTGCCTGGCCCCAGGGAGACATTCGTGTTTGTGACATCTGCTGAAAGTAAAAAGGTGGCTAGTGTGTAGGGTTAATGCATGCAGGCTGGCAGAAGACATTGAGAGCTGGGTATAGAAGGTGGTTCATGGACATATGTCCTGTGGATATGAGCTTAAAGCTGCAGGTGTCTGCCTGGACCTCTGTTTGATTTGAGCATGCTCTCACAGTCTTTACTGTGCTTCTTTTGTGCTTAAAGATCAGCAATGAAGTGATTAGTGTGACATCACTGAAATTAGTCTATGCATGTGGAGGATTAGAAGGGAGATTTTTATTGGTGCGTATATCCCTCCCGGCCAACCACACAAGAAGTGCAGCGGCTAGCATTTTCTAACCTTTTGGATTAGAGAAACTCAAGCAAGAAAAGGCAGAGAGGAAAGCCTAGTAAAGTTCACAATGCTTCTCTTTACAGGCTGAACAAAAAAGAATATTGAGGCAATTACTGGCATAAATCAGTCCAAAGAAATTCAAGCAAAAATAGGCATTTTGCCTGAATTGTGGAGCTAATTATCTCAATCCTCCGCTTCAGAATTCCTGGGGAGACCTGGCCTAAGAATGTTTTTCCAGTGATCTGGCAGATTCAGAAGTGGAGAGAAAATTATTTAAGTGCAGCTATGGAGATAGAGTCCAGTGCTGTCTCTGTCCAGAACATGTGTTGAGAACATCCAGGCTCAACTAGCATGGCTGGCTGGGAGGACAGAGGCCTAGAGGGGGATGATCGTGATCCACACAAGGCCAGAGAGGAGTGGTGTCAGTGCCCAGAGGAGTCATGCTGGCTCACCTTTCAAAATCTGTGTAACTTTAACACTGTCAGAGATGTTATAAGTGATTTTCATTTTTCTGTTTAAAAATGCATCTTTTTTCTAACAACTTTTAGCAATAAAAAGGCAACTTATTAATGAAACCCTTCTGCCTTCAAAGTATGAAATTAAAATATTATTGTAACTACAGGCAAGAAAGCATTTGGATTATGTGTCATTTAGAAATGATGATAAAGATTATCCGTATGGTCTTATGTTTTCAATGCCTTACATTGCATTAGCAATCACCTAATATGGTTGTGATTTTGATTATGTGGCTCATTTTAAATTCTGCTGTGTTCTAGGTCAATCAGTGTCAAGATAATTTACTAGAAGGAGGTGTGGTTTTCTTTCATAGATGCTGCTAGGTGCTTGGGCACAATTAAAATATTTTAGGACATAGTATTTTTGGTATTATGGTGCTGTGGGTGTTGAATACCTTCTCTTTAAGCATCTCTAATTCTAATCTTGTCTGTCTTGGGTACATAAAACAACCTCTGGTAATAAAATCTATAAAAATTTGTGTTATCTGTTTATTTACGTTAGTTTCCCTTAAAGTCTTAATGGCTTTTGTACAGGTGTCAGTAATTTTAGATGATGAGATTTTGGTGGTCAGTAAGTGGGATGCAGAAGCTGGGATTAACCTGTGTCTCCAAAAGAATTAGAAATCTCTCTGCCTTTTTTGCATTCTCTTCCACTCAAAGGGCACAATGAAGTCTTACTCCTGCTGAACTTTGCAGGGAACCCAGCAACATGACATTTTTTAACCTTCTGCTCTGTAGGGATTGACAAAGCTTGATGGGAACTAATTTGGATTCATTTGGGTTTGGGGACAGGGTCATAGCCTTTTGAGAATTCAGTACTTTCCCTTGATCCTCCTACACCCTAAGCTTTCTGACCTCTGCAGGCTCTGTGTCAGGTTCTGCTCCCTGTATGCACATACTCCAGTTACACATTCTTGACTCCTCACCTAGTTCTGTTCTTTAAACAATGTGCCTTTTAGACTCATCTGTTATTTCATTTTTGCTTGGAAAATATTTACTCAGGGGAGACTTCTCTTTGACACTGTATGTGGTGATGTAGATAATTTAGTGAAAACTTAATAACTCTAGGGGTGTAACAGCAGATTATGATTGTGTTGTAGTAGATTAATTGGTCATTTTAATCTAGCTTATAGTAGGAGAAACATAATGGTGTTTTGTCTTTCTGGTTGTTTGAGGGTGTTGTTTATTTTTTGAAGGTAGTACATGTTTTTCATCTCTGTATCTGCAGCCTGGCAGAGTGCTTGCCACAAAGAAGGCATCATGAATAGGATTAATTCAGTAGATGTCATTTCTGAACATCGGTCAGTATACATTCCAAAGCTCCGTATCCCATTCAAATGCAAACCTACATAATTGAACTCTTTATCCTAAGGAAACTGGCCAAGAAGCGGAAGGAGACGATGAGCAGCACCCGACAGGAGATGACTGTGATGGTGAACTCAATGGACAAGAGCTATGCTGAGCAGGGCACAAACTGCGATGAGGCTTTCTCATTCATGGACACGCACAATCTGAATGGGAGATGTAAGTGCATATGTTTCTTGGCTTTTAATACATTGCCCTGGTTTTCTAAAAATCCAGGTGGTACAAGGGGATTGCAAAAAAAAAAAAAAAAAAAAAAGCTCCCCGAAGAATTTTTATGCCATATGTGTTTCTCCAGTCATTTTCAGTGATCCTGAAAACACTATGTGCCACAGATTGCCTAGCAGAGATGTTTTAAAGGTGATAGGACCAGGCCAGAGAGTCCGGAAAACCACAGTGAAGTTTCTGTAAAGATTTAGAGAGCAGTGACACGAGGCTTTCCTTCGCTAGTGGAAGAAGGCACCTGCTTCTCATCTTGTTTAGATCCCATTTGTAAACTATCCAGGTGTGGAATTACAAACAGGAAGCCTGTTATAAAAACAGTTCACTAAATGGCAGTAACAAGTTAATTGTTTATTTGTTTAGCTGACAGGTTCTGCCTTTATTATAGGGCTATTAGTGGCAATTAATAAATTAAACTGTATTTCAGCTTCACAAGTCTTATGTTTCACACCAGGTGCATAAACCAGCTTCAGCTACTGCCTTCCCATACTACTACCTGTGATCCAGGTAGAAGCCATTATTTCAGGACACTAACAGATTGATTATATCAAACACAAAAGGAGCAGTTGCTTTATCCCTGGTGATCTTCTCGGAAACCAGAGGGAGGGACCTCATTCTGTGGTTTAGGGCACACTTTGGTGAGTTCAAGGTCGGGGGTTTCTGTATCAGGCCCAAGCTCATAACCAGGATGCTGGTCAGCATGTGGATGGAATTAAAGTGCAGCTGTTCCTGTTACCAAAAAATAATATTCATAAAGGCTGGTGGGCCCTCTGGCTGTGAGGAGCACAGAAATGGTATCTGGGGTGGGGGCGACTGGGAGGAGTTTGGACAGTGTGGGCTGGTGTCCTGATACTCACTGTGATCAGTGTGGGCCTGCAGCTCCCCTCCACTCCTCTTCCAGATCACAGTGTGGTCAACACACGTGCCTGCCCCTAAGCCTCGCGTTCTCCTACACGCGGCTAAGCTCTGGAATTCAGTCTCTTCCATTTTTCTGCTTGTAGTGGCTGCAGTTGTCCCAGTTTATCCTCCTACATCCGTGTGTGCTACATGCACACGTGGCCCAGCGGAGCATGCACAGGTGCTGCTTTGGCACCAGTGGCCGGGGCAGCACTGTTGCTTTCATTCTTGGCCTTCTTTCTTTACCCTTTCCAGTCATTTTCAGTTCAGGCAATAGAAGCTGTGGGGTCTCAATGTACCCAAGCTCCTTTCCATTTTTTTGTAGCATTCTGCTTTTTTTTTTTTTTTTTTTTTGAAACGGAGTTTCGCTCTTGTTGCCCAGGTTGGAGTGCAATGGTGCAACCTCAGCTCACTGCAACCTCTGCTTCCCGGGTTCAAGTGATTGTCCTCCCCCTGCCTCCCAAGTAGCTGGGATTGCAGGCATGTGCCACCACGCCCAATTTTGGATTTTTTTTTAGTAGAGACAGGGTTTCTCCCAGTTGGCCAGGCTGGTCTTGAACTCCTCACCTCAGGTGATCCGCCCACTTCAGCCTCCCAAAGTGCTGGCATTACAGGTGTGAGCCACTGCGCCCAGTCCTCTCTGCTTTTTTTTTTTTTTTGGTAGCAGATACTATGCTTTTCATTTAAAAATACATATATATAATTTATTCAGCCATAAGAAAGCAACCTATGATGCATTTGTTGTGGGCTGGAATTGGAGAAGCCCTTTTGATCACACACAGGATTAGAACTTTTGTAATAGCAGGTATTCCTTGAAAGGGACCACACAGATAGTTCTAATTCTCCAGTTTTAATGTTCCCATTAATGTTCCAAATCTTGTATTTCATGATGAAATTCCTCAAAAGTCAGGTTACTTGTAATCACTCACCCCAAAAGCAGGAAGCTTCTTTAGTAGTTCTAGGTGTTTGAAGTTTGAACAACAGAGAATATCCCCTTCTGGACAGGAAGTTTAATTAGGTAGTTACTTTTTTGAAAGTAAATGTGTCCGTGGAAATCCAAAAATGTTCGTGCACAAAGGACTGCTGCAGAAGTCAACAGACCTTCCACAGCTTATCAGCCAGTAGACATTATTTTTTGCCTCCCTTCAATAAAACCAACAGAATGAACACAACAGTAGACTTTCATTTTCCTCCCACTTGAACAATGAGTTCTCATCAGATCTCATCTGTTGGGAGTGACCCTAAAGGTAGATACCCTAATAATCTCTTGATGCCTTTGAAATAAGACAGCAGTTCCTCGGGAGGAAAGCTTCAGGAAAGATGTTCCTTAGACCACAAGGCTGCCAGCACCACACCTATGACAAGTGTGGGTATGCATGAGATCTTTCCGGGTTGAGAGAAAGTGCTGGAAGCTGCGAGGTGAGCAGTTTTTAGACAAAGGGAAAAGTGAAATTGGAGAATTTAAAAATAAGCATGACCACAGTTATGAGAGTGGGGATTAATCTCTCCAGCAAAGCAAGTATGAGTTGCACTGTCTGCTTTCATATGCTGTAAAAGGGGGAGAATAGATATGGGTAGTGGGAATGGGTTTAATTTTTATGCTCAAAGACCAAAGAATTTATAAAATATTTTAACAGGAAGGTGAAAATAAACACAGTTATTTTATATCTGCCGTGAACATCCTGCCAACCACATAAAAATATCTGCAGGTAATAAAAAGGCTTTATTCTCACTGACCCTGGCATATTTTATTGGTACTCATTTTTTTCATTCTTATTTTCATCCATTGTGCTCTTTCTCTAGGCAGCTTACCATAAACATGCATTATAAGTATGATACTTTTCTATTTTATAAAAATACCTGTAAAATGACAGGCAGCCTGAGTTCTGACCCTTGTTCTGTCACGTACTGATGCTACATTTAAAAATACTAACACAGGTAAAGGCACTGTTCTAAAGGGACTGCTCCTGGAGAATTAAAATATATTAATATGTCATCAGAATAATTACCCAGTATGCACAGGGACTTGGTCATACTTCCCATAAAGATAATGGTATAATTGTGTATTAGTCTCCTGATCAGGAACTCAGCATCAAACAGATCATGTGACTACATCAGAGGCATTACCATTTAGACTTAAGTTTAACCACCTTGAGCAACTTTCAAGTCTTTATACTTTAATGAAATTAAACTGTTTTAAAAACACTAATCAATTAATACATTTGAAGAGGATTTTTTTACTTTAAAAAAATTTATTCCATCAAGGCACTGTCATCCATGAAGATAGTTTTAAAATGTCTCTTAAAAATAGGAAATCCTCATTTTTAATGAAATCAGATGAATTGGATGGGATTGACTTTCCTGCTTGATAAAAGGGAGGAAGAGAAGGTTCTAATTCAGTCTTGAGTATTTCAGAGGAATATTTTAAAGAAAAGCATTTTTGTAAGGATTTAAAAGACTAATGAACATGCATGGAGCACCACCTTTATTTTTCATAAAGCACTGTAGAATGTTCTCTGCATATCCAAATATGAGGAAGGAGAGGATTTAGCAAACTACAGGAACGTTGACATTGGGAATATTCTCCAAAAGCCATGTGTAGACACATTCTTCTACTTTTACTTGTAAAATTCAGCTTGGCCTGAGAGCCTCTATAAGCAAAGGCCAGAAGTCAAAGTAGAAGTCTGATGAATTTCCCTATCCAAAATGGAGGCCATGGTTGTGGGTTTTCTCTTTATTTGTGGGGTAAGAAAAGTCTTTAAGTGACAAAAGGTTGCTTGACCTCTAGAAGACCAATAACTACTCAGAAACAACTGGGAATGATGATATTTCCCATGTAGACATCACTGAGTCCCAGAGTCACTGTGGGTAGCATGGAGTTGCTGTGGGTGGTCTCAGAGCATTTTGTGTTCAGAGTGTATGACCTGTCTGCTGCCCCTGACCAGCCTCTCTTTTATTTACAGCTGTGTCCTCACCATCATCCTTTACAATGAAAACAAATACACTGAGCACGTCGGTGCCTAATTCCTATTACCCAGGTAACAGATTTTTCCGTTGTCTCCTCTGTGCTCTCTCCTCGGCAGTCAGAATCAGTCCGCCCTGTCCCTGCTATCTGTGGTGCTTGAAGGGCTTACTGTGTTTGCGCTGTTGTAACCCAGTGCTTTTCTACAGCTTTCTATGCGGAAAATAGGGCGGGCTGTTCATCAATCATTTACTGTTCTTTCTCTTTTTACTTTCCCTGCATTGACCTGCTTACGGTGTATGACAGACCCATTTGTGCCAACTGCAATTTTAGGTGAGAACATTTCCCTTTACCACAGTTTGTTGCAGGAGTAATTTAGAAAGTCAGTGGCCACTCTATAGGAGATTGGAGTTTTAATTCTGTATAATGCAGTGATTATAAGCACGACATGGGGGAGGTGGGTGGCCTGGGGCATGGGGTGAAAGTAAGAAAAGAATTTCTCTAAACAGTCATTATTAATAAGAGGGGTTTGCTGCATGTATCTTGGGAATGATACCAACAGATTCAAATGAACAATCCCAGCTCCAGTATTCTCCCTTTCTGTGTTCAGAATTTAAAGTTAGGTCTGATCCCAGGGAAAAAAAACAAGGTGTCATCACTCAGCTGTGTATTTTCCAAGAGCCGAATTCTGTCTTGTGTGATGGTCATAAAAGTGAAAATAGCTTCTTATTATTTTCGCTTATTGCTAAGCACTAAAAACTTCAATTTTAAAAATAGTATTTTTCTAATTATCCCAAATGTTATGCAGAAAAATGATCACAACGGAGTTTTGGCCCCCTACCCATCCTCAGTGCCGCTCAGGGCACCGGCCCGCCCCAGCATTCCAAAGTGTCTGTCACACAGTAGAATTTCAAAGGAGCTGATGATCTGAACAGCAAAATGACAAGATGGCACTTATAATCATATGGTTTATTATGTGTCAGATGTCACTAGAAATGAACTAAGATGTTAGCCCAGTGGGGCAGAATGCATTTAAAGTATGAAATATTCCCAGCAGGGGGTTACAGAAAAAAATCCCGTTTGTCCCATGTAAGAAGGGTGAGGAGAAAAATGGCATTACCTGGCTGTGATAAGCAAACAAGCATGACCTGCTGTTGCATTTGAGACGCATAAATAACCCGAGTGTATCACGGCTGTGTTCTCTTTCTACTACTAACCTTTCCGAAAAGGAGCACAACAAAAACGACTTCAAGGTATATAACAATTCATTGTAGCAAGAGTTCCATCCTCAGTTGTTCGACTTCTCCTTCCTAATTCACTTGACAAGGGTTTATATCTTTGCAACATAATTTTTTTCCCCTCTGCTTCTCTTTCTCTAAGTTGTTACGATTTTTGTATAGAAGGTAATTTTTATTTTCCTAATGGTGTTCTCTGGGCTTAAGCAAGTTTGTTGCCTAAGCAATAAATGAATTAAGAGAGAAGTTTAAGAATAGATATAAAAACAGAGTTTTTAAATTTTGCATCATTCTAATGGATAACAAAGCCCACTAAACCCTCCTCCCACTTTTAATACCAACTGAAAGGGAAAGAAAACTGCATTTTTATTCTTTTCATAAGTGAGGGGCACAGGCTAATCTTAGGCACCAGAACAATGTAATCTACATGCAAATGACATTTGCAGAATCTTTTGATAAGCGAAGATTTGCGATTTCTTTGTGTGCTATGGCATTCATTCTGAGGTTCCTGTAGTAGATGTTCTGACCTTGGGGGAGCTGTGAGTGGGGAGGGCTAAGACGTGCATTGTCAGAAGGAAGAAAATGTTCAGATTTCACAGCAGGATTAAGATAAGCTTATTAAACAAATATTCTTTAAAGTCGATGCTTTGTTATTATGAACATTAATGACATCTTTTAAAGTTGATTAGGTTTCTTTACTGAGAGGGAATCACTTGGACAGATAATTCAAGTAGCAATACTGATGTACCTTGTGAAAAATAAGCCAGATAGGCCAATAAGTGTTATCATGTATAGCTTATATAGGTACCAGCGTGACAAATGGCAGTACTTGGGAACTGCATTCCTTACACGTTACTTGGTGCAAACGTGAAGCTATGTATTGAGTAATAAGGATTGGTGAGGTTATCACTTGAAACCAAATAGGAATATAAGATATATATCTACTCTGGCGTTTTGGGGGATAGTATCAGTTACAATTTACACAAAGACAAGAAGAAATGTTTTGCTGTGAATCCGAGCTCAACACAATTAAATTCCCTAGCACTTTTAGCTTCACCTCCCTCATGCTAAGGTGCCCAGCCCTAATGTGTAGAGCTGGAGTACATCTTTACTTCATTTGCTTGCAAAAATATAGATGATTAAATGGTTGGATGGATGGATAGATAGATAGATGATAGGTAGATAGACAGACAGATAGAACCTACCCTACCTCAAAAATACTACGTCTATTTCAACTTAAGGTTTTTCAGCTAGTTTGTTAAAAATTCAAGATAATGCATAAAGAATATAGGTAGAATTAATTTTCAGTCCTTAGAAAACCATCAGAACTATTAGTGAGAAGATTTATTTCTAATGTGCTCTTCTGCATTATTTTTAACTTAAAAAAATGTTGAGGCCAGGCACTGTGGTGCAAACATGTAATCCCAGCACTTTGGGAGGCCAAGGCTTGAGGCCAGGATTGCTTGAGGATCACTGGAAGGCAGGAGTTCAAGACCAGCCTCGGGAACTAGGGAGACCCCCATCTCTTCAAAAATAATAATAAATTAGCTGGTCATGACGTAATACACCTGTAGTCCCAGCTACTCAAGAGGCGGGGCTACAGTGAGCTATCATAGCGCCACTGCCCTCCAGCCTGGGTGATAGAGCAAGATCCTGTCTCTGAAAAAAAAAAAGGAAAAAAATTGTTGATGGGTAATTTTTAAACACACAAAGGAAATTAATGACAAATAATGTATTTTATCAGTAATAATTCCTTTTTAAGTTAGAGAGAACTAATTAATCAGTAATTTTAGCAAAATTAAGAATGTCTAGTAGTATAAGTGACCCAATTTTATAATAGCACACAAGAAACCCTCTATTCCCTCTTCCATATGCATCTACTAGATAATAAGGCTCCTCTTTGATGGACTTGGTAGTGTTTAAATGCTTGAAGACATGTTCCACACTAGTAATGAGGCCAAGCTGGCATAACGCAGCACAGGATGATTACATAAAACAGTGATAGTGATTGTAGCTCTGTGGATTTAAAACTTCCAAGAATACCTAGCCCTGGGATCAGAGCATTGCTAGGTTGCTGGTATAGCAACCACGTGAAAGACCCAAATCATTTACGGGAAGTTTAGAAGGTCAGCCCACCATGGAGGGCATGTTAATTATGTTCATCCCATAAGGTACAAAACTGAGAGAACGAGAGAGGCACAGAGGGGAAACTAATTAATGTTCCATTTATTTTAGTATAAAGAACGGAACTTCCTGCTGGAGTAACTCAAAGCTCATGGGATTCAGTACTTCAGCAGGGTTCCTGTATCCCAGTTTATAAAGGTTGGCAGTTGCCAGCAAGCAAATCTGATGTGAAAATTTCCAGGTTTATTTGTGACTGTTAAAATGGGAACATATGAATTGCTAAATTTCAAAGCAAATCCAAATGAAACAAAAATCATAAAATCAACGTACCACCCTTTTTTATTTTGTCTTTGTGTCTTTAGCCACGTTGTAGTGATCCAGGTGCCATTTCAGCAACAGCAACATAGCTACACACTTGTGTACCACCTTTCATACCATGCATCCCCAGGTGCTTTGCGATGCAGATAGAAGTGAGGTTTCAAAACCAGGCCCTGCTAATCAAGCACCCTTGGACTAAATTTTCTTCAGAGCTGAATTTCTCAGTCAAAAATAAATAACATATGAATAACGGTAGCTGAATTCCCTATTGATTACAATCTGGTAATTTTTAAAACTTGACTGTATCTTTTCTATGATTTATATAATATTCTCATTTTAAGTGACTTTAGCATTGTGTTTCGACAATATCCATCCTCAATCATAAAACCGCTAAAGGGATTCAGCGTTATAATGAGTTAACCTGTAGAATATGGAATTCTTAATCTAATAGCATTTTCCTGCATAAGACATTTTTAATAGCTACCATTTCTGTAGTTCGTTAACCTAATTTACTAGTAGGCTTCCATTAAAGTATAGCCTCTTTAGGCTTATCTGACCAAATTTTGACATCAATTTTGTAGTACAATTTGGTTGACTTGTTCAAGAAATTTAAATGAGAAAATGTGTTGAATACAAATAAGACTTATTTAGACATTACTTTGTTCATGGGGGATAAAAGCAATTATGATACTAATTTTAGCCTCCTTTTTGTTACTGAGTACTTAAATTCAACACCTCCATCCTAATGTGATGGGAGAATTGAGGCTTTGCCCTCTGACCACCTCTGAATAGAAAACTTAACTGGAAAGTAAAAGCATAAAATAAAAACTACCTGTAATTATGCACGCAATACTATTGCTTATGCCCTGTTTCCTTTTTCTCCTCCTTTTTTCTCCTGATATGTATCTTCTTAAAAGTGCCAATAAATGGTAAGTTCCCCGATTCGCCCCATGGAAGAGTTGTGGAGGGAGTGGGAGTGTGTGTCTTACTGGTAGATTCTGACGAAGCCAGCTGGTGCTGCTCTGTGCTAGCCTGCATGTTTGCCTTTGTAGAACATTCCATGTGTGATGTGCTGGTCCACAATATTTTGTCAAGCTTTCCGATACTGGAGCATGCAAAGTGATTCATCAAAACGTTACCCCCAAACCAGGTTCCCTTTTATTTTTCCACTTTTCTTTGATTTCATGTATTAAGTCCACATTTCCATTGCTAGCTTTATAAGCCACACCATTTTGTGCACTTTTATTTTGCTCACAGAACATTTGTGCAGAGTTTATTTATGTCATCATACGAACTACTGAACTAATGTTTCAAAGAATACAAGACTGGTTTTGCACCAGGTCTTGATGAAGTTTCAGGTTGAAACTTTCACAAACTTCAGCACTGAAGGGCTAAAGGGCTCTTCTAAATTAGCTTTGTGAAAGCAATATATCGTTTGGACTGCTTTGTAAAAACAAAGATTTCTGCGCATTCCTATCAGTATTGCCAACCCCATTTGAATTTCTAAACATTTAACTTTTCTTTTTTGCTGAGCCATTGTAGGGAATTTTGCAGCCCTAGGTGAGGGGATGCCAGGAGCCAGCTTCTTAGCATTCTCGGTGATGACGACCTAGTTCCCTGGCTCTCCCTCATTTTCTCCCTGACCTTTCTTTTCCCAGATGAAACCCACACGATGGCCAGCGATACCAGCAGCCTGGTGCAGTCCCATACTTACAAGAAGCGGGAGCCGGCTGACGTGCCCTACCAGACCGGGCAGCTCCACCCCGCCATCCGGGTGGCAGACCTCCTTCAGCACATCACGCAGATGAAGTGTGCCGAGGGCTACGGCTTCAAGGAGGAATACGAGGTGAGCACAAACTCTGTGCCGGGGCTTTCCCATTCCTTCTTGGACTCCTTGCCAGGTACTGTGCTCCCAAGTCAATCAGAAAGCCAAAGGAAGCCCTAGCCTATGAGAGATGCCAGAAAGAGACCAAGTGCAGTTGTCCCTTGGTATTCTGGGGGACTGGTTCCAGGACCCCAGCCTATGTCCAAGTCCCACAGTGAGCCCTGTGGAACCTGAGGATACAAAAAGCCAGTCATCCAGATCCATGGGTTTTGCATCCCAAGGATATTATATATATACTTTTCAATCCGCATTTGATTGAATCTGAGGATGCAGAGCCCTGGAATATCAATACTGACTGTATTTTATCCGTGGATCCACTTTTATCTGATAGTAAAACTTATTACCAAGTTCACATGCGTTACATGGAAAAAGGAAGAGCACTTTGCCTTTTACCTTATTCTGCATAAATATACAATGAAAACAGAAATTTATTAGGCTCTCTTCCCCTCCCCATCCTGTTTTTTCCTCTTTTTTTCTTCTTCCCTCTGTCAGAATTAAGTTTTAGTTCATGTCTCCTTCCCCATTCTTGATCACCTTCCTTGGCTTTTCCTGTAATGATAATATTAAATTCTAATGATTTTGTAGTCATTATCTCAGGAAGAAACTGTCCACTTAAAGCAATTATAGACCAGTCAGCAATGTCATGGTAGAGATCAGACAGCAGTGTAGGGACCGGCTATTGTCATGGCAGTGACAACCATTACTGTCCAGCCAGCCCAGAGAGCATGCCACTGTCTTGGGCTCTTGTGTGGTAGCTGTCAGGGACATTTCTGGGAACAATGATGTTCTCTGAATATATATAATATAGGGCTTACCCCTTTCACAGCCTATGCCGTTTGTTGATACTGTCAGAAGGTCATTCGAGAACTGAAGAAAATTAATTGATTGAAGAAGTCTGATTCTAGGAAATATGCCCTCCCTTGAGTGGGTGGTGTGGGGCTCAGGGAGCAGAATAGGAAAGTTGAATTGCTTTTTTATGTTATTAAAATTAATTTGCAGTCATTGATGAAGATAAAGTAGCATGCTTACTCAGAGTAAAAATAGGATTATATAGATGTGTATTTTTTTAAAATCTTAAAATGTGGTTCTGATCTCATATCTATCTAACTAGCTCAGAGTTGGGAAACATCTTATCTGGAATTAGAGTATTTTTGAAATCTGTTTCTACCACCTGGATAGCTTGTGAGTTTCAAACTCTGTTTTTTCTCTTCTTGTAGACACACTCACAACACTTCATTTTATGCCCCAGATGCTGCACTGTCTTGGGTTTAGCTCTTTTTCCAAACTTGATCATCAAAGATTCATTAGAGCAGTCAAAGCAACACATGGTACCACTGTTGGCAGAGCCACTGCTACACTTCTTTTAGGAATAAGGCTTTGGTCCAAAGCAGACATAGATAACACTTTGCTCTGCTAACATGTGTGTACTGGTGTATTGCCAATGACCTCAGTTCAGAAGACTGTGAAGCCAGAGAATCCCATCCAGACCATGCCCCAGGATTTGACTGAAGTCCAGAAAATATTTTCTGTTGAAGTTCTGCATTTTAGCAACCCTGAACTTCTTAGATTTAGCTTTAGCGATTCAATGTATAATTCAGTGAATTGACTGCCTTTGCATATTTCCTTCCGCACTTTTAAAGTCTAGTTTAGGAATTAATAGGATTAAGACTTCCAAAAGCTTAATATCATATGAAAGACAAAATTAGGTTATTGAGAAAAATATAAGCCTAATGAATAGGGATGATGTCTAAGTTCTATCCAATATGCTGAATGCAGATATTGCTCAAATGTTTATTAAAGATGTTAATGTCAAAGAGATTAGTGTTAGGCTCAAATAACAATCCATGAAATAATCTGAGCCGAGTTTTTCATGGACTATTTAAAAATATCTACTTCCTATGACATGCTGTAGACAATGCATATTTGAAAGATGTAGAAAATATTTCCCATTCAGATCTTCCAAATAAATATGATTTATAAGTATAAACTGAAATATTATATACTCATTTTAAGCATATTATGACTGACAACTAATTTAGTTCCCAAAATAAAATGGTGTATTCACTAACTACGTTTCAGAAAACTTTTTCTCATTTTAGCTATTCTGTGATCAGAGAGGACTGCTAAAAAGTGAATACTTTTAAACCCTAAAACCATTATTTGTTTGAAAAAAAAAAAAAGAAGGAAAGGAAGGAAATAATGAACAAAACAGATACGCCAGAGATGAAATCAAGAACAAATGGAAAGGAGCTATTGGGAGAAATATGAAACGGGCAGTTCTGTTAGGAATAATCCCGTCACCGAGTACCGCGCCCTTTGTGCCGCCTTCCTGGAGGGATGCTGATGTTGTCATCTAGTGGGGCAGATGACAGGGAAGTGAGAGTGGTGATGGTGGGCAGGTGTGTGTGTGCCGGGGCTGCAGGGAGAAGGGGACACCCCTTAAGAAGCCTGTGTCACAGAATGACATGCCCTGGTCTTGATGGAGGCACAGCCAGGCTTCTGAGAACTGGTAGTGGAGTGAAAGGTTCCAGACTTCAAGTACTCATATGTCCCACTTTCTCTAACCCCAGGGAGATGTTATTCTAATGAGAATCTGGAAAAATCCTTAAAGAGTTATTTTTTTGAAGTTCACTTAGTTTTTAGACCTCTAACAAAACAGACCTCTTTCCATGCTGTAAAGTCTGCATCCTTTCCATGAACACATGTTCAGAGTCAAGTGTTTAGTGCTAACTGGTGTAACGGGAGTCTCTGTGCTTCTCAGTGGGTCCATCCCACCCAACAGATACTGAGAGGTTGTGGTTTGGAACACAGGCTCTGGCACCAGACTGCCTGTATTCAAACTCAGCTCTGCTTCATAGCTGTGTGACCTTGAGCAAGTTATCTAACCTGTCTGGGCAGCAGTTTCCTCATCTGTAAATAGAATAATTATGGTATCAACCCAAAAGGTTGTTGTGAGGAATAAATCATTTTAATGTAGGTGCTAGAATTATATCTGGCATATGGTAAGTGTTCATTTGAAGTGTTAGCTAGTAGAAGAAAAAAAAAAACTAATTTATAATAAGATCCAAGAGCAGAAGTTGACACCATGTTCTTTATAGGAAAACTTTGTTATACTGAGGTTTCAGTAACGCTCTGTCATCTCTGGTGCATAGCAATCTGAGGCTGAGTGAGCCACATGTTATGGAAAGGGGTTAGTACTTTTGCTTCATCTACAGGGCTAGATAATTTTCTTACCATGCACCACATATCATCAAAAATTCCCATTTACGAGTAACTTACAAATAAATAGGTAGATTTGATTCTGTGGGTTAAGAGTTAAAGAACTGAGAAAATAAATTTTAAAAAATATATGTTGTCATGTTTTATTGCTATGTTAGTATTTCCATATCTAAGTTGGAGAGTCCTAAGGAATACTGTGACTCTAGATGGCATAATCCTCCTAAAAATATTGATTACGTTGGTGTCTTTGGCAAAGTAGGATTTGGGAAAGAGTTTAATTTTACCAATCATACACGGCATGTGGCACCAGGGGTACAGAGGAGAACTGCTTCTCCTTGTCCCTGACGGGAAAGCTGACAGGGCAGGAGAAAGCAGCCAGGTAATGACTGCAGTTTGTCCAGTCAAACCCCACACTCTTAAAGAGAGATGCACAGGGGTTCTCTGAAGGTCAGTGGGGTCACCTGAGCCAGCCAAGAGCAAGGATGACTTCTCTCCTTGAAGATGAGTGGGAGTTGAGTTGGAGAAGGTGAAAGAGGACAGCCTGTCCAGGTAGATGCAAAAGCAGGAGACTGGAGTTCTCTGGGGAAATGGCAGGAGTTCTATATACCTGAGTCCCAGGATGGACTGGGCTGCAGGATAAGGGTGGTCAGGGCTCCAGTCACCAAAAGCACCTCATGTGTCACACTGAGAGGTTTGGACATCATTATGGAGGCCTTAAAACGGAAGAAAGACATCCGGGTGTGGCGGCTCACATCTATAATCCCAGCAATTTGGGAGGCCAAGGCAGGCAGATTACTTGAGATCAGGAGTTTGAGACCAGCCTGGCCATCATGGTGAAACCCCATCTCTACTAAAAATACAAAAAAATCAGCCAGGTGTGGTGGTGCTTGCCTGTAGTCCCAGCTACCTAGCAGACTGAGGCAGGAGAATGGCTTGAACCCAGGAAATGGAGGTTGCAGTGAGCCGATATTGCACCATTTCACTCCAGCCTGGGTGACAGAATAAGACTCTGTCTCAAAAACAAAAGGGCTGGGGGCGTGGGGAGAAAGACTCAGATAGCCTGAGTCTCATTCCCGTACTTGGATGGAGAGCTTTTTAGTTTGAACAGCTCAATATAAAAATATTATTTGTATGAGATACACAGGCAGTTGCTTAAAAGGTAATACTCCAAAAAAGTAAATGAGAGAGGGAAAGTATATTTTAAAAGTTCTATTGTTCTATTTCTATTCTAACTGCTGATAAATGCTTGGCTTCAACAATTGTTGAGGCAGTGAATTACTTCAGTACTGAAGTATCTTTGGGGATAAAATCTAAAGTATGACTGTTTGTTCCTGTGAGTCTGTGTAATCATCCCATCAGTCTTTCTGGTCTTCTTCAGTCTGTATATATCAGGGAAAGCCAGTCATCCACGTTGTATAATATTTTTGAAGTAGTGATGTTCTCTCTGTTGAGCAGGTTTCAACCAATTCTTCTTTATCGTTTTCAAGACAGCAGTGTCTCAAAATTGGCCTAAACACCAGAAGGATTCATTACTGATCAAGTAGCCGATAGAAGTGTGTCCAAACAAGAGTATATCATGCGGTGGGAATGAGATGGAGCAGAGCTCAGTGCAGACTTTTTTATTTGATTTTGTTCTAACAAGATAGTCATATGGCACCTCTCACCGGGGAGATGAAATAATTTGATTCAAAAGAAACTCAGACATGAATCACAATAAAGAAGTAAACATGCTGAATTGAACA